ATCTAAATTATTAAAAACCCATAATTTCCTTTCTTTTATCTGTTTGGAGTCTGGATTGATAATCATTCTGAGCTTTTCAACTAGAATATATGTGGTTAAACCATTGCACTTAAATTTCTTTTTCTGGGTTTTGAATAAGCAGAAACTTAGTGGTGTATTTTTTCTTTTCTGGAATGAACAATTGAACAAATTCAACATATATGTTTTCTATACAGAACACTACTTTTATCTTAATTATTTTACCAGGTATTCTGTGCTAAATATTGAGCAATGGAATCTTCATTGTTTACCTTTTCTCGTGTATTTGCTTATGCCTTTCAATAGTAGTAGGAAAATAATAAAGATATTTGAGAGCATTAGATGATCATACTTCAATTGAGTTACTAATAGTTTCGTGTTATTTGCAGGATGGAGTACATATATAACATTGGTGATCGCTGTGATGTATAGGTTACAACACGTTCTAACGTGTCGAATGTGGAAAAAGTATATGAAGCATTAGATGATGTCCATAAGAAGATGTTCTTGAAGTCGTGCTTCAGTAAACTGTTTGAAATCAGGAACATGAAAATATCTGCTTAATTAATTCCCAACCTATTATTACGAAGGATTATCTCTGTCAATGAGGATGAATTGTTGTTTTGTTTAGGCTTGGAAAAAGTTGTTCGTTTCTCCATATACGAGATTATGCTCGTCATTAGATTAAGCCCTACGAATGAGGAGTATGAGAGCCAGATAAATGAAAATGGCTGATTGAGAAATAAATATTTTCCAACATTTAACAAGGTTATGTTTAAAGAATTGAATGAGACATTTGAAAAAGTGATACAAGACATGGATGATTGAGATTGTGTTGAGGTCCAAAGAAAAAAATATATCTATAGATCTTCGCACTTTAGATATTGTTGATGATTTGGAGCTATTCAATGCATATCCATGGGGAACTAAAAGTTTCAAGTTTATGGTACATGCATTCCTTATAGTGTCGAAGGATCCAAAACCTAAATATTCATTATGGAGATTTCCACTAGCGATACAGGTAAATGGTCAAAACTTGTGATTTAAACATTATTTTTATTTGATTTTTAAATATTTGTAAATAACTTATACATCTTCTTTTAGGTGTGGGCGTTCGAGTCTATTCCTCAAATAGGAAACATGTATCATGTTAGGTTACCTATCAATGGACTATCGAGAATGTGTTGTTGGAAATAAACATTTAATCCTAATTCTCATGATATTGCTGAACTCTTGGATGACCCACAAGTGAGTATATCATATATATTGTAATTAGTTTTGCACGTTACCTCAAGTATTGCTAAAATGATTTTTTTGTCAATTATTTAGCTCCAAGTTCGTTGCTCATTAACAGCTTCTCCCAATGAGACTGAACAACAATATGTGAATTTATTTGTTTATGGAACTAGAAAAGAAGATCCAATCTTCGATGTTTATCT